CCTTCACTACCATACCCTGGATTTTTTGGCTTCCAGAAGCTGTCTTCACGTAGTGTATTCAAGAACCACTCCAGACCAGATGCATTCATTGGCAGCACCAGAAGTTGGGTGTCAGGATCTTGAATGTTGGCAGTCTCAGGGTACAAAATGCGCATGGTGGTTTTGTTCCCCACATCCATCTCAAAACCCTGGACAGGGCCCTGGCTCATCCTTGGAAAGAAGGGCAAGGTGGTCATTTGGTGGAGAAGGAGGATTTGGCCTGTCCATCCTGGTCTCTACCTCCTACCCTGCACCTACCTGAGGACCATGTCATGTTGGTTAATCCTGATGCCATAGCCAGAGCCCCGTAGGAACCATGAATTCCCCACCACGGCACAAGTCTGGCAACGAGACACTTTGGTCTGCTGCTGCCACTGCTTCCTATTCTTAAACTCCATCTCTGACTTACCCTGAAGTCCCTAGGAACATAGGAGGGAGGAATGTAAGGCTTTCATCCAGGCTCCAGCTATCTGTGGGAGAAGGTTAGAGCCTGGGGCCATGAATGAGGAGAAACACAGCAGCTGGGGTTGGGGATAGCAACTAGACAGAAGCCAAAATTGGGCACTGACCATCCACTGTATCAGAGCATCAGAGGACATGGGCACTTGTGACCTCTGCAGGGGCTTAATGACCCGTTTGAAGCGTTTGTCAAACCAATTGGAGTGGCCAGGTATGCGGAGACAGGTGGAACACTCCAGGGCCCCAGGAGGGCAACCACACCTTCTGGAAGAAATCCTGGGGCAGTGGCACATCCCTGGGAGTGTTTTGGCCATCTTACGGAGATTCTTCTGGCTGACCTCCTGATCCAGGAAGGAGGTTATCAGCCACAACGAAAGCAGGCAGGCAGCCACTAGGCCGAGCTTTGGGTATTGAACCCTCATCTCTGGCCCTGACAGTGGTGTCCCTGGCAGACAGTAGATTGACTCTGACACTGGCCGCTGGGGAAGATGAGAGGTTGGGGTCACAGACATCTTCGGTATCCCCCATCCTGATTGCTTCCATCCCTCCTCAACCATGCCCCGCACCCACACACACACCTCACCTCCTCCCAACATCTCCCCACTTACCTCTCTATCCACCTACTAATCACTAAAAGGAACTGCCAAGGCCTGAGCTGGAGGCTGAAGGAAGGGGATACGTTACAATTGGTGTGTTCTGTGGCCTCTGGGAGGAAGTTGATGCCTAATGGGGTCTTTCGTGCCAGCCCAGTTATATCAGGGACCTCATCACAGAGGCCACATTGTGACCTCCGTGTAGGTTTATGGGCAAGGCCCCCTCCTTCACTTTGGCATTCAGCCCAGTGCTCAGCTAACAAGGAAGGCTTGGAAGTCAAGTATTGAAGGTGACAGGCGAGAAAGAAGGGGATATGGTGCCAAGGCTGGTGTGGATGAGCAGGTGGCAGAGAAGGAAAAAGGGGAAGGCAGCAACCTCCTGGGCTTGGGGGAATTTATGATGTTGATGAAAATGAGTATTTGTTGTATTCAATCCTTAACACCTCTCGGTTAACTTTCTTTCTTTTTGAGAATTGTTACCAACATAAATAACCCCTCAGGCAGGAGATTCCCTCTCTGAGGAAACTTACCCAAGGGAAAAACCTAAAGATGTTAACACTTGGACATTTCCCCAATAAGAGAAGTGACAACTTCCATCAAGTTGATTCTAACTCATCGACCCTGTAAAGTAGAGCACCTTATAGGGTTTCCAAGGCTATAATCTTTATGGAACCAGGCTACCACATCATTTTCCCATAGAGTGACTAGTGGGTTTGAACTACTGACTTTAGTTGGAAGCCAAGTGTTTTAACCTCTGTGCCAGTGGAGCTCCTTTATAAATATACCAAACAAACCAAACTCACTGCCATTGAGCAGGTTTTGACTCATAGTGACCCCTCCTTGGGCTTCCAAGGCGGTACCTCTACAGAAATAGATTGCCCAGTCTTCATTCTGAGGAGTGGCTGGTGGGTTTGAACTGCCAGCCTTCTGGTTAGCAGTCAAACGCCTTAGGCACTATGCTACCAGAGCTTCAATAGGAAATGAAAAATAATTACCGAGCAAAGTCAAGAAAAGATTTCTTGGAAACCTTCCTTGGAAGGAAGCTTTCTTTGTTGGTTACCAGGGGTTGAAGGGGAGGGAAGGAACACTGCAAAAAAAAAAAAAAGCAACCCATGTCACTTTAGTTTTGTGTATTTCACTGTATACAAATTATATTTCAATAAAATATATTTTTTTAAAAAAAGTTACCGGGAGCCAAATCTGGGGCAGGAGAAGTTACTGGGGGGGGGGGGCAGGGGGGAGAAGTGGTAACTTCCATTTCCTTCCTCTTGGAATGCTCCTTCTGGGAACCTGTTTGCCATATTGTGAGGAAACCCAAGCATCCACATGGAGAGGCCCATATGGAGGAGAATCCAGGTCCCCAGCCAGTAGTCCCTATTGAACCGGTCCACCCCCATCCCCAGGTGATAGCAGAATCAACTTGCCAGCTGTGAGTGAGCCATCTTGAAAGTGACCATCCCATGTGGAATAGAGAGGAGTTGTCCCCACTGAGCTCTGTGCAAATTGTAAAGTCACAAACTTAAGTTGCTAAGTTTTAGAGTAGTTTATCGAACAGTAGAAGGTAATTGAAATAGTGTCTCACCCTTAAAAGGAAAGCAAAAGATTGCAAGACAGTTGAGAAATGTTTCTAACAAGAGACCAAAATACACAAAGAAAAGGAACTCAGAAGAAGTAGAGACAACACAGGGAGCAGAGCATCTCAAAAATTACATCGCCAGGATAAGAGAAGACTGGATTCATGAAATGGGAACAGGAGTCCGTTCAAAGAAGGAACATTCAGATAACAAGAAAGTTCTTAACTGAAGGTATGCTTGTGCTGATGCATGTGAGGGTTATTTGCAGTTTTTCTGTTGCTGGAAACAGTGCTGATAAGAACATGGTTATGCGTGTTTCTTATACATGTAGAAGTTACTCGGTGTATACCTGAGGATGTAATTTCTGGGTCAGAGTTTGTGAATGTTCACTTTTGTCACATTTTTTGCTGTTGGTGTTTGCACCGATGGAGAAGAGATCGGCGGTTCCACATCTTCTCCATGACTTGGTAGAGTTAGACTTTTAACTACTTGCCTACTGAAAATTAAGATGAAAAGTGGTATCTTATTTGTGGTCTTGATGTGAATTTCCCTGATCACCAATAATATTGGCAGTCAGATGTTTATTGGTGATACGTAGTTTGGGAGCTCTGGTGGTGTAGTGCCTAAGGCATTTGACTGCTGACCAGAAAGCTGGATGTTCAAACCCACTAGCCACTCCTTGGAAGGAAGACTGGGCAATCTACTTCCATAGTGATACCACCTCGGAAACCCAAAGAGGAGTCGCTATGAGTCGGATCTGATACATAGTTTATTCCTCTGTAAAGGTTTGTATTTCGCCCATTTTTCTAATGGGTTGTTTTCACTCTTCTTGCTTCAGAATTCTTTATATAGTATTAATGCTAACTTTTACCAGTGTGGGGTATTTATAGCAATGATCTTCTCTGAGTTTTAAACTGTTTTTTTTAAACTTTCTTAAAGGTGTCTGGATGAACAAAGGCCTTCGATTTAATATAGTCTAATTTTATTTTGTAATCAATGCTTTTTGTGCCCTGTTTAAGCAATCTTTTCCTACCCCAAGGTCTAAAAGACGTTGGCCTATATTTTCTGTTAGAGTTTCCTAGTTTTGTTTTTGACATTTAATCCATCTGGGGTTGATTTTTTTTAATATATGTGGTAGGAATCCAATTTCATCTTTTCCATACAGGGATACAATTTCATCTTTTCCATAGAGATAATCATTTTTGCCAGTGTCATGGGTTGAACAATTCCTACCTTATTCACAAAAGTCATATACAGCATATACAGCTTTTAAAATTCCTATTGATATATAGCACAGGTGTACAGTGAGAAAATTTACAAAGGTATACACCTGAGTAATCACCACCCAATGAAGATATAGAACATTACCAGCACTCCAAAAGCCTCTTTCATAACCCCCCTACTTATTTCCACCCAAAAAACTTACCTGACATCACTTTAGTTTCGTTTTGCCTGGTTTTGAGCTGCATATTAACGGAATTATCCAGTATGTCATCTTTTGTGTCTGACTAAAGAAAGTGAGGACGGGGGCTTCAGGGCCAATGTCTCAAAAAACTAATGAAACTGATAAATCTGATGTGTTTGATCATATTGAGAGATTTGTAGATCTGTCAGCATTTGAGAAGGAATTAGTGATAGGTACATAGAAAGCTAGGCAATTTTTTAAAAGTCAGTTGTGAACTTTATCACCAAAATGGTGATTCAGTGATTTTGGGGGGCTAGGAAGGGGAAGAATTGGGAAGATGAATGGTGTAAATCTCGCACAGTAGGAACCAATAAGTAATATCTAAAACTGAAGGGGAAAAAAAAAAGTTTTTAAAGCAGTTTATCCAAGTTAACTTCCCAGCCTCCTCAGTGCTTAAAGATCATGTGATCAAAGTGGCCAGAATGGAGGCTTTGTTGAACTTAACATGGACCTCCCCTCCCCTAAGGAGCTCTGGTAGCATAGTGGCTAAAGCACTTGACTGCTAACCAGAAGGCTGGCGGTTCAAACCCACCAGCCACTCCTCGGAAGGAAGGTTGGGCAATCCTACTTCCGTAGTGATACTGCCTCGGAAACCCAAGGAGGGGTCGCTATGAGTCTGGGCCGACTCGACGGCACATAACAACAACAACAACAACCCCTCCCCTAGGCTGACCTGTCTACTGTCATTCTGAAGCACCTTCCCCTGTTTGTCAGGGAGCTCTTGTGGCGTAGTGCCTAAGGCATTTGCCTGCTAACCAGAAGGTTGGTGGTTTAAACCCACCAGCTGCTCCGTGGAAGGAAGATGTGGCAATATACTTCTGTAAAGATTTATCGCCTTGGAAACCCAGTGGGGGTAGCTATGAGTCGGAATCCATTTGACAGCAGTGAGTGGTTTGAGTTTCCCCGTTTGTCAGCAGCAATCTCCTATTTCCCCTCCCCCAAGTTCCCGATAAGGTACCATTCTCAGAGGTAACTAGCTAGCTACGAGGTGGCAGCAGTTTGTCGTTACTGAAAAAGCACTTTGTCCTATTCTGGATTTGGACTTTCCTTACCTGCCCATCATGGTGTGGGCAGCACCATGTTCCGTGGTCATAGATGCCTGCTCCTCTGTCACGGTGTGCCACTCAGTGAGAGAGACAAGGCACTGAGCTGTTGCCCCTGGGACTCACTGACCTTGTCACATACTGCCCTTACCCAGAAGTGGGCAGCTCATGGTGCTGCAGGATAGATAACTGTGAAGACTGAGTTTTGATTCCAGTTCTAGCAAAGTCTATGAATGGTGTAAATCTTGCACAGTAGGAACCAATAAATAATATCTAAAATTTAAGGGGGAAAAAAAAGTTTTGTTTTTTTTTAAAGATAACCTGAACCTTGTTGAGACCTGAAATCAAATGAAAAGATAACCTGAACCTTGAAAATATTATGTTGAGTGAAATAAGTCAGTCACAAAAGGACAAATATTTTATGTTCCCACTTATATGAAAAATCTCATGATTTTACAAAGTCTAGAGACCACGGTTGATAACTGTTTCTAGGACAGGAGGGAAGGGGAAAGGGAAAGCCATTGCTTAGGGGCACTGAGTTTCTGTGAAGGGTGATGAAAAGAATTGGAGATGGGTAGAGGTCATGGTTACACAACATGCTGAACGTAATTAATGTCACTGAACTGGACATGTAGAAAATGCTGAAATGGCCAATGTAAGAGTTGAGGCTGTGTGTCAACTTAGCTGGGCCATGATGCTAAGTGATTTAGAAGTTGTGAGGTAGTCATCTCCATAATGAGACCCATATAATGTAATCACCTCCATATGAGATGTGCTATGAGCAGCCGGTCAGTTGAAAAGGAGTTTCCTCAGGGGTGTGGCCTGCTTCCCAAAAATATATGGGCATCCTGGGGAAGTTCTCTGGCTTGCTGGATCTGGATCCCGCACCTGGCTCATCATCATCTCTGGTTTCTGGACTTGAACCAATGGCCTGCTGTATCGCCAACAATCTGCCATTTTTCCTGCAGATCTGGAAATTGTCAGCCTCCGAAGTCAGCAGCCCACTGTATTGCCTGCCAATCTTCGGTTTGTCAGTCCCTACAGCTGTGTGAGTCAGAAGACGCCTCCAGCTTTATGTATGACCCACAGACTTGGGACTTGCCAGCCTCTATAACTGTATGAGCCATTTGCCTGAGATAAATCTCTCTCTCTCT